TCTCCAATGAGATCGTTAGACTTCTGTTGATGAGAAAAGCCGCGGTGTTCACTGCATCCGCCCAAAACATCTTCGGTAAGCCACTCTTTAACCTCATGCATCTTGCCCGCTCATTCAGTGTCCTGTTCATGCGTTCAGCAACGCCATTACGCTGCGGAGTCCCCTTAGTTGTCTTCTCCATACGAACCCCATTCTCAGCACAAAAATTCTTGAACTCATGCAGTGCATACTCACCTCTATTATCTGACCGAAGGCACTTCAACTTCAGACCTGTCTCTGTCTCAACACGAGCTTTCCAGTTCTTGAAAGCATCAAAGGCATCAGATTTATTTTTGATAAAATAAACTCATACCTTTCTTGTGGCATCATCAGTGAAGGTCATGTAGTAAGCAGACCCTCCTAAGGATGTAACTTCTGCAGGTCCCCAAAGGTCGGTGTGAACTAGTTCCAACCTCTCCGATTTGATAGCTTGATTTCCCTTTGAGAAGCTGACATGTTTCTGCTTCCCGAATATGCAGTCCTCGCATAAGCCAACCTCAACAGTCTTCAGGCCGGGCAGTTTGCCCTTCGAGCACAACTCCTTCATCCCCTTTTAGCTGAACCGACAGTGCCATAAATTCACATCGTTTGTTGCAGTGGCAGCAACATCGATGCAGTCATTTGAGTTCGTTGTCATGTACAACGTACCCTCCTTTTTCCCTTTAGCAACCCGCAAGGCTCCCTTGGTGATCTTCCGATTTTCTGCTGCCGAATGTAACTGCATAACCTTCCTCATCCAGCTGCCCAATTGAAAGAAGATTCCTCCTCAAACCAGGAATGTGTTGGACGCCATTCAGTTTCAGCATGCATCTGTTCGGAGTCTTCACGTGGTCTGTCCCCTTCCCGACAATTTTAAGACGTTCATCATCAGCAAGATACACCTCTCCAAAATTGCCAGCAGTATACTGTTCCATCACTTCAGAATTACCACATGAATGGAACGAGGCTCCAGAATCCAGAACTCATGACTCCAACGGACTGCTCACGCTTAGGATCAGGGGATCATCACCTGATGATTCTGCCGCTGCATTGCCAGATGTCTTCTCCTTCTGATCCTTGATCTGCTCCTTGCACTGGCTCTTGAAGTGTCCGTACTCATCACAATTCCAGCACTTAATCTGACTTCTGTCCTTCTTGCCCTTGTTGTCTGACTTAGATTTGGATCTTGATCTATCTCGATTAGACTTGGACTTCGACTTCGTTCTGCCCCGGTTCTCTGTACTCAACGCCGATCCAGAAGCCAGGCCTGATTCCTTCCTGCGGATTTCTTCGCTGACCACCAGATTTCTGACTTCATCGAATTTCAATCTCTCTTTCCCTGCCGAAGCGCTGACTGCAGTCACTGTTCCGTTCCAGCTTTCTGGGAGAGAAGACAGCAGAATAAGGGCGAGAATTTTGTCTTCGAATTTTATCTCAACCGCGCTCAACTGTGTGGTGACCACATTGAACTCGTTGAGATGATCCACCACTCCCGTACCTTCTGACATCTTCAGGTAAAAAAGACGCCTCATCAGATGAACTTTGTTCACGGCGGAAGGTTTCTCGTACATATCTGACAAAAACTGCAACATCTCCTTCGTCGTTTTTGCTTTGACGGTATGTAGGGCGATGTTTCTGGACAGCGATAATCGAACCACGCTCATCGCTTTTCTGTCCAGCAACTTCCAATCGCTCTCCTTCAGTCTTCCGGCTTATCAGCCACAAGTTGATACAGATCTTTACCGTACAGGTAATCTTCGATCTGCAACTTCCAGAATCTGTAATCCGTTCTGTCAAACTGCATCACCGGTGTCTTCAAATTGTCTGCCATCGTGAGATCTCCCTTTGAACCTAGGGCTCTGATGCCAATTGTTAGGAATTTAATTTACGCACACGAAAAAACAATAATGAAGAACACACGAAATTTGGTAACCCAGTTCGTCACGAATGACTACGTCTGGGGGCGCTACCAAGCCAGGAATATTATTGCTATTTTCGGATCCACACACAATGATTACAATGGAGAGAGCTTGTATTTATAGAGAAATAAATCTTAACCCCAAGGCAACTAGGATGTGTTTCCTAAAATAAATTAAGAAACGTGTTTCCAAAAATAAATTAAGAAACTGTCTCTAACACCTTACAGATTATACACAAAGCTTAATCGGCGGAGCATCCATTTGTTGAGTTTAGTTTTATGCGACGACAAGGTGAGATCTTATTTGGGTCATCTAGGCATCTTGGTTGTGAATAAGGGAGAAGGACAAATACAAAAATTCACATGAGTATGGATATTTTGAATTGTTGTTCTGGATTCTCTAGTCCCCTGACAGGGAAAGAAGAGATGACACTGGCGGTGACGAGCTAGATTAGGACAACAATGACGGAAAAACAGGGGGCTTTGGATAACAGGTTTGCCGGGAAAATTGAAGACTTGCTGCACGAGTTGGCAACTTTATTTCGTTTTCAGTTTTATTCTTAGGCTGTGTTTGCCTTTGCTTCTGCTTTTTAGAAGTGATTAATTTAAGAGATTTTTGGAAAAGTAGTTTGTAGTAAAAGTGGGTAGTGTTTGTAAATAGAAGTGATTTTAATTAAAAGGTAAAAGTTGAAGTGTTTGGTAAAAAAGTGATTTTAATGTAAAAAAGTTTGTTAAACTACAAATATACCCTTAGTAATTATTTCTCTATACCTATGGCAGTTCAGAAATTTCCGACGACTTCATCGCTCCAACTTTGCTGCCTCATGATGGAAAGTATAAGCATTTTGGTGAAAGGATCTGAAATCTTCAATAATCAACTCCATTAATTTGGAAAAATTCAATCCACTACACCTAATTTATGATGCTCTTCCATATTCTTTCAAATTGAAATCCGATTTATGGGTTTCCTAAAGAAAAGTCTTGGACGATGTCACGGCGGACCTTTTGAAGTTGCCACCCATCGTCGGCGTTGCGTGTTTCCGATGGAGTGACCTTCGTGAATGAAGCTGGGGCTATTCTGGTCGGGATGCTTGAGCGACATAGGTGGGGAAGACATGCGTGCTGAAGATATCATAAATACGGAGTACAACGGAGGGTAGCACCGGTAGAAAGTGGAAAAGTTGGATAAAACTTTCCTCTGTTTTGCATTTATTTACAATCATAATACCCAAAAGCAGATAAAAGCATCTCTTATCTGCTTTCCGCTTTTGAGTAAAAAGCACTTCTACAGAAGCCATTATACGCAAATGCAAACACTCCTATCTGCTTTTTGTATTAAAAAAAGCCAAAAGCGCTTTGCAAACGCAATAGCAAACACAGCCTTAGTCTAGGCCATTTTTTATGATTGTTTTGTTTTTAATATCATTAATCAAGACATTAATTAGGATTCAATTTACTTTCGTTGTGAACGGGAGTGATGCTTTGAGGAGCAATCATTCCCTTTTGATTATTATAGGCTTCAAGTTACCTGAATTGTGTTTAGCGAATTATACAAATAATTCTATGTCTAAACCCTAATTCTATATTTCTATGCCTAAACCCAAGGCTGATGACCAAATTGGATATTTCATGAGTTTTTGATATAAGGCTCAAATTGGACACTATGATTTTATGAAAATCTCATATTGGACATTAAGGTTTCAAATGGACCAAGTTGGACAATATGGTTACATATTTATCTCATATTGGACACTAGAGTTTCATAATTCATAGTTTTTGGACACTCACTTATGATTCTCGATCTTCTTCCTTTAATAAAAATTATGTGTATTTCCTTTCCTTTTTGGTGAAAATAAACTAATTTAATTATGTCTATAATTTTGGAATATTTAATTTGAAGTTTAGAATATATATTTTGATTTTAATTAATAACTTCTTATAGTTAACAATTTAAAAATATATTAATGACTTTTCATTCTTATGATTTTTATGGAACTTTAAGAAATATCGATTTGTTAAATTGATTTAACAATATTAAAGAATTCAATTACATTATAATAGAATTTCTTAATTGGAACTTCTAATTATATATTCTAAATCTAAGTACACGAATTAAGTTATTTTTAGTTTTTAGGTACATAAAACCAAGAGAAAGAGGAATACTTAAAGCTTTGAAGATGAAATTCTTTTGTAGGTGTCCAAAAATGATCAGAAAGACGTAAAATTTGATTCATTTGAAACTTTAGTGTCCAATATGAGATACACAAGTAATCATAGTATCCAATTTGATCCATTTGAAACCTTAAAGTCCAATATGAGATTCTCATATAACCATAGTGTCCAATTTGACCTTTATCCCTACATTAAGTTAAGCCTTTTCTATTCAAAAAGGAAAGGAGAAAAGAAAACAACATTGATAATATTGTATTTTGGTACCTTAACTCTTAAATGAATCAAAACGGTACCTTAACTATACATAAATGTTTCAAATTGAAATTTTATTCAAGGAAAAATCACATTTTTAGTCCCTTAATCAGTCACCAAAATGAAATGTTAGACTCGTATTTTTGAGATTGTAAATATCACCCCTCAATTGTCCAAAATGCTGTAAGTGTGGTCCTTTAAGTGGTGAAATGTACTCTCGCCCACATTGTATATTTCACCCATCAAAAGACCACATTTACAACATTTTGGACAATTGAAGGACGACATTTACAAACTTGGGAACGCGGGTCGGACATTTCAATTTCGTGATTATTTCAGGGACTAATAGTGCGATTTTCCCTTTATTCAAATTTTTAACAAAAAAGTCATTCAAATTTCATGTGTAGAGCCACACTATAGCGATCATATGAACAAAAATAAGGTGAAGTAGATTTTACGCATAGAATTCTGACCGTCATGTGTAATTTTTTGGACGGAAATTTGAATAAAATCTCAATTCGAAATACTTATATATAGTTAAGATACCGTATTGATTCATTTAAGAGTTTAGGTACTAAAATGTAACATGACAAATAATTGATGTACCATTTATGCATTTAACCATATTTCTATTATTATCCCCCAATTAAATACCCTCCAAACCCACATCTCTAAAAGTGCCTTTTAATTCCCGTTACTGGCCACCCTCTGTTTCTTCTTCACTGGATCGAGGGGTGGAGCTGTACTGCTCGGAAGCAATAGATTGATACAGTTAATAATACCCTTCAATGGACGCTATAAAGAAGCAAGCAGCCAAGCTCAGAGAGCAAGTGGCCAAGCAGCAACAGGTATGCACAGTTCATTACTTTCGCAGTACAAATTCATCTTTTTAAAGTTTTTTAATCGAAGTTCCTTTCGTCTTAGTTTTGATATGATTCCGCAAACCCCCTTTATAGATTTCGGCTGTTCGGTAAAATCCTTAAAAGGATCAGCTTAAGTTAGGGCTATTTATAAATTAATTCAAATTTATTTAGAAGACCGGGTAAAATCCTTAAAAGGATCAGCTTTAGTTAGGGCTAATATAAATTTATAGTCATATATATCAGGGCTAGCTCAATAGATTAGGAGACCCGGTGCAAATCAACCTTAACAAACCAAAAAAACTACAACCAAATGTGAGATTGATAGATGATCATGTTGTTGAACTTGAACAAATAAAATCAGTAAAAAAATCTAAAATCGGAAATAAACGAATCAAAATAGGATAAGAAAAGTGAATATTTTAACTTTGGTTGGATGACCTGAATAGTTAGACCATTCGAGCAAATCAAGTAATCAACTATTTTTGAAAAGAATCCCTGATAGAATAACCCTGATGTGTATTGCATGTGAGAAGTGGAGAAAGAAAATTTGGTAAATCGTGCAAATGCCGAGTTACCAACTTGTGATGGAAATTAGAAGGATTATTTAACTTTCATTTTTCATTTAATTTAATATAGAAATTGGAAGGGTTCTTTAATTATCTGTTTGCTTTTGTTTCAGTTGGGCCGTTCGGTCCCTTACATTTAAAGGTGTTTCCAATTAAAATCCAAATGTCTCTTATTATTAATATATACTTATCAACAACATCCAACTATCCAAGCCTTAATCCCAAAAAATTTTGGGGTCGACTAACATGAATCGATCCATTATATCGATGCCAAAAAGAGAAGACAGACAAGAAGAGAAAAAAGGGATAAAACGAATAAGATATAGATAAATAAATATAAGATACTAATAACATAAGAATATAAGAAAAGATAAAAAAAAGTAAAAGATAAAAGAACATAAAAAAGATAGAAGATAAAAATAACATAAGAATATAAAAAGACAAAGCAGATAAACGATAAAAGAAAAAGACAGAGGAAAAATAGAAAAGAGATCAATTATGCACACAAATATGCGCCCTCCACTTTGCCCTCTCCAAAGTCATACTCTCATCCAACCCAAGAAGACGCATATGAGTTCTGATTCCTCTAATCCAAGTCTGTTTGGGTCTTCCCCTCCCTCTCCTCTCTGTCTCTTCTTCCCACCCCTCAAGTCGTCTAATAAGTGCATCACTTGGTCTTCTATGCACATGCCCAAACCACCGCAAACGAGACTCCTGCATCTTATCTTCTATAGGTGTTACTCCCACATTTTGTCTGATTATCTCATTCCTCAAGCAGTCTTTTCTGGTATGGCCACACATCCAACGCAACATACAACTCTCTGCCACACTCATCTTTTGAATGTGACATTGTTTTACCGCCCACCACTCTACGCCATACATTAATGCAAACCTAATTGTTGTTCGATAAAATTTACCTTTCAGTTTAGTCGGCATACCTTGATCGCATAGAAATCTTGATGCACTCTTCCATTTCATCCACCCATCTATGATTCTATGGGATACATCTCCATCTAATTCACCATCCTTCTGAATTATGGAGCCCAAGTAACGAAACATCACACACTGGTATCTCCTTACCATCAAGAGTAATCCCACGGTTTTTTTTACTACTACCTCCACCAAACTTGCACTCCATATACTCAGTCTTACTTCGGCTCAGTCTGAAACCCTTGGTCTCCAATGTTTGTCGCCATACTTCCAACTTTGCTTTAACACCCAATTGTGTCTCATCAATCAATACAATATCGTCGGCAAACATCATGCACCACAGTATATCTTCTTGGATTGACTTCGTAAGTGCATCCATGAGACCATGACTATAACAAATAAGAAAGGACTCAGAGCCGATCCTTGGTGCACACCGATAGTAATAGGGAAGTCTGCGATCCTCCCTACACTAGTACGGACATTCGTACTATAAGCCTCATACATATCCATGATGATACTGATATACTTACGTGATATGCCTTTTCTAGTTAAGGCCCACCAAAGGACTTCTCGAGGTACCCCATCATATGTCTTTTCTAAGTCAATGAACATCAAATGCAGATCCTTTTTAGTGTCTCTATACTTCTCCACAACTTGTCTAAGAAGGTGAATGACCTCAGTTGTCGAGTGTCCAGGCATAAAACCATACTGATTCTCCGAAATTTTCACACTGTTTCGAAGTCTTTGCTCAACCACTCGCTCCCAAAGTTTCATGGTGTGACTCGTAAGCTTAATCCCTCGATAGTTGGCACATTCTTGTTCATCACCCTTATTTTTAAATAGGGGAATGCGAGTACTCTTCTGCCAATTCATTGACATTTTGTTGTTTCTCCTAATCATGTTGAAGAAGCGTGTTAGCCGCTCAATGCCTTTCTCTCTCAAACTTCTCCTAGCCTCGATCGGTACGCCATCTGGGCCTATGCTTTCTTCCGCTCCATCTTTCTCATAGCCTCTTTAACTTATGTCATTTGGATCCTTCTCACAAAGTCCCGATTTACCATACACTCTGGTATAGTAAGATCATAAATACCTTGCAGCCAATGTTTTAAAAGGCACTAGGCGCTAGTCGGGTGTCTGCCCAGCGCCTAGCGCCTAGGCGGCTAGGCGGGGATTAGTCGGGGACTAGTCGGAAACATAGAAATTATAGTTTTATCAATACATTTGCATAAATATGATAAGTAATGTTGTGTTTGTGTGTGTATAAAAACTATACACACACATACACATTAACATGCATGAATGATAGAGATGTAACATTAAACATGTATAATCCACAACAACTAACTTTCTTCATAATCATAGAATCTAGATGTCTAGTCGGTCGATTAAGCACTCTAGGCGGGCAACTAGGCACCCAAGCGAACTGACTAATTGACCTAGGCACCAAATCAATTAGTCGGAGCGCTTAGACTAAAATCGGGACTGTCGGCCACCGCCTAGCGCCTAGGCGGGGACTAATCGGGTGCCTAGAACGATTTTTAGAGCAATTCCTTGCACTTTATTCTCGTTGAACAAGGTATCAAAGTATGACCTCCACCTCTCTTTTATTTCCTCATCCTCCATTAGTAACCTTTGATCGACATCCTTCACACACTTAACTTTTCCGATATCTTGAGTCCTACGGTCACGAAGGCGAGCAAGTCTATAAATATCTTTTTCTCCTTCCTTAGAGTTCAATTTTGCATACAATTCCTTGTTCACTTTTCCTCTTGCTTCTTTTATAGCTTTCTTTGCTCTTCTTCTAGCCTCCTTGTACTCCTCTATGGTCACGAAGGCAAGCAAGTCTATAAATATCTTTTTCTCCTTCCTTAGAGTCCAAATATGAAATTTTCTTTTTAACAAGTTTTACTCTTCAACTACTGAACAAGGAGTATCAGTTTTTAAAGATGAATGATATGAATTGCAATGTCGTCGGCTTGGCTTTTGTAGTTGCTTCCAATACATGTATAATAATAATTTTTTTAAAACAATTGACCGTTTAAAGAGGTGTTTGGACAGGCAAATGGAATTTAAATTTCAAAAGGTATAAGATAGTTACATAAACAAGTGGTAAAAGTTGAATTGAATTTTACGGCCACCTTGGGTATGAAAAGACGGTGCATTTAATTTCATATATATGATATTATGATCCAAGCATCTGATTAAAGTAACTCAAATTAAAGTTGTTGTTCATCTTGTAAATATACTACTATCTTTACCAGTGCCGTGTACGGGATAAAATGATTTTGTTGTTTAGTTTTACTAACGGAAAATAAGTTATTTAGTCAATTATAACATTGATTTAAAATGCATATTCTAATTTATTGAATATGCCTTATGTTTAAATTAATTATCTAAACATGTTTTCAGTCTATATTTTTCAATGAAAAATGACATTTTTTTAAAACTTACAATTGCATCCAATTGAAATTAATCTATTTTTATCTAAACAAAAGCAAATTGCTCAATGTCTATTTTTATCCATTAAATTTCAATCGTGACTTACTGTTTTTTTAAACTAACTACACATTTTGTAACTTATTTATCTAAAAATGGGTGTAGTCCGTTTGTTTTAAAGATATTAGCCCTTGTAAGCTTTAGAAATTTTCAAATTTGTCTTTTGATCTCTTTCTTTAAGAAAAGATTTTAGAATGTAAAGTTTTGTGACATTCTGATTTTACTGAAGGTGATGACGGCGACAATAGACTGCATATTGTGATTGGCGGTGATCACATTATTATTCGTTAGATCGAGTTATTGAAAGTATATGTGATCTTATTAAGTAAAATAGTTACTCCCTTCGTCCCCTAACCACTAATAATGATGATAATAATAATAAGGATAATAATAACGTTAATAATAACAATGAGAACAAGAACAAGAACAATAATAATAATAATTATTATTATTATTATAATAATAATTATTATTATTAAAGTAATAAATCATGTTTGAACTTTTCTTATCTGATCTGAACTTTTTTTTTATCTAATCTGAATCTTTCTGATCTGAATGTTTCTGATCTTAATCTTTATGATCTGATCCGATCTGAATCTTTATGATCTCATCTAAATCTTTCTGATCTGATCTGAATAAAATAAGAATAAACAATAAGTAATAAGAATAAGACGAACAAAACAGCTTCCAAGTCTTCATCACAATATTGCATGGGTTGCTCAACTCTGCTGTACAAAACATAAAAAAGAATGGGGTGATGTTTTGATGGTTTATAAAGAAAAGAGATTCAAGTGTTAAAATTTATTCAACATTTGAAATTGACTTTCTATGGTCTATCTACAGTGAAATTAAATTGGTAACCTGATCTAACAGTTCATATTAATACATGATACTAATGAACTAAAAATATGAACTTAATCTTTGGTTAAAAACTGAAGTTGTTCTTACCAAATCTCTTCAGGCACGCGTGATGATATCTTCTCCCTTTGTAAACTTATATCAAAATATAGACTAAGGCATCCAAATGACTCTACACCTAGTTCTATGAGTCTGAATTTTCTCTTTGGCTAGACAATTCTGAGGCACTTGGGTCAGCTGGGGCATGAAGCTTTGATGGTAGATGAGTCTGAACTACAGTGTCACCAACAACTTGAGAATTTATACAGATCCACTAGGGATGCAAAGGTAAGTAAGTAAGTTTACTTAGGGCTAGTGTTTTTTTCTCTTCTAATTTTTATCTCATAAATAGTGTATGTCTGTATGCTGGTACTTACATTACAGCTATATTGTTTTGTTCCAACAGCATTTTCAGAGGGATATAGTTCGAGGCATAGAAGGATATATATCGACAAACAAAAAACAAATGCATATAGGTGTGCGGATTTGTTTACTTTATGCTATATCATACCTTGTGAGTTTCATTCTTCTAACTTTTCAGGACTTTCAATGGGGAAATTATCAAATATAGGAGTTAATCAAGCTGGATTAATTATCATTTTGGGATTAACAGATAATTAGGACTAATTGTTTTTGGATTTGTAGATTATTGCAGAGATTATCCTAATTAATCACCCGATTGAGGAGTTATGGGAAGATATCCTGGAGATCTCAGAATCTCTAAATATCCCCATATATCTTTTCTTTATTAGAGAACCTTAATTAGAAGGATTCCTTGATTTCCTTCCTTATTTTACTTTCTTCTCTGGCTATATATTATGTAGTCTTCTCCTTGTATTACACAGAACAACAATAATAATATACATTCTACTTTTCACGAGTTCTTTCTACATGGTATCAGAGCTGTGGTTATTCTCAATATGATTAAGTTTGGATCATATGGGATGACCACCGAGAGAGATGGATCTATCTCAGACACCTCTGAACATTCAGAGGCTGTCCCAACTAGAGATGGCAGCAACCAGAATATCAATGGAAGCACAGTCACCATCCCTAATCAATCAGATTCGATTATTACTTGCCATAAACTCAATGGTAGTAATTATCTACAATGGTCCCAGTCCGTTATGATGTACGTGTGTGGAAAAGACAAGGAGGACTATTTGACAGGTGATGCACCTGCTCCGGATCAAAGAGATCCAGGTTACAAGAAGTGGAAAAAGGAGAACTATACTGTGATGTCATGGCTCATCAATTCCATGACAACCAGTATAGGGGAAAATTTTCTACTCTACAAAACAGCTCAAGAGATTTGGGAGGCTGTGAAAGAAACCTACTCAACCTCAGATAACACTTCTGAATTATTTGAGGTTGAATCAATGATATATAACCTTCAGCAGGGAGAATTGAGTGTAACTCAATACTTTAACAACCTTATGAGACTCTGGCAGCACCTTGATGTGTTTGAGACATATAGCTGGTCATGTTCTAAGGATAAGAAGTTATATCAGGAAATCTGTGAGAGGAAGAGAGTCTTCAAATTTCTGTCAGGCTTGGACAAGAGTCTAGATGAGGTTAGGGGGAGAATAATGGGAAAGAAATTCACCCTTAGAGAAGCTTTCTCAGAAGTCAGAAGAGAAGAAAGCAGAAAGAAGGTAATGATGGGCCTGAAATCTCAAGGCCAACAACCAAGCATTGAAGGTTCAGCCTTATATACTTCTTCCAGACAGAATGACAACAAGAAAAAGGGGAGGCCATGGTGTGATCACTGTAAGAAACCAGGCCATACTAAAGAAACATGCTGGATTCTGCATGGTAAACCCAAAGATTTCAAACCAGGCAAAGGGAAAGGAGCCTATGTAGCTACTGGAGATAAAGAAGATATGGGCACTTCTAACTCTGCTGCATTTACCAATGAGCAGATTGAGGTTCTTCAACACCTAATAAATCAGAACAAAGGGTCTACACCACCAACTAGCTTTACTGCCCAGACAGGTAATGCCTTAACAACCCTAGTTGCTCAAAGTCAGCCCCATTGGATTGTTGATTCAGGGGCATCAGACCATATGACTGGAGACAGTAAGTTTTTTGCTGATTTGATCCCTATGAAGAATAATGTGACTGTGAAGATTGCTGATGGAACTACTTCAGCAATAAAAGGGATTGGAAGAGTCAAAATTTCTGATATGATAGTGCTTAAAAATGTGTTATATGTTCCAGATTTAAAGTTTAACCTCTTATCAGTCAGTAAACTGAACAATGATTCCCATTGCCTAACTAAATTCTCTTCCCAATTGTGTGAATTTCAGGATTTGGATTCGGGGAGGATGATTGGCAGTGCTAAGCAAAGTGGTGGACTCTATCTTCTGGAACATTCACCACATTTACCAAATTCTACCAACAAGACAACTTCCAGTGAGAGTCAATTCAACCATAAATTCTTAGGGAGTCTTAGTAGAAGTCAATTTGATGATCAAATTCAGCTATGGCATTATCGTCTTGGTCATCCTAATGTCTTGTACTTGAAAAAATTATTTCCTTCATTATTCATCAATAAAAGTTCTATGTTTGATTGTGAATTTTGTCAACTTGCTAAACATACAAGAAGTCATTATCCCAGTCTACCTTACAAACCATCAAAACCATTTTCTCTCATCCACAGTGATGTTTGGGGGCCATCCAAGGTAAAAAATCTCTCTGGTTCAAAATGGTTTGTTCTGTTTATTGATGATCATACACGCTTAACCTGGGTCTTTCTCATGAAAGAAAAGTCAGAAGTCAATAGTATCTTTCAAAGATTCTATTCTATGATCAAAACTCAGTTTCAAACCAAGATTCAAGTTCTTAAAACTGATAATGCCAAAGAATATTTCTCATCCAACTTAGGAGAGTTTCTGTCAAAAAGGGGGATTATACACATTAGCTCCTGTGTTGACACCCCACAACAGAATGGGGTAGCAGAAAGGAAGAATAGACACTTACTGGAAGTTGCTCGAGCCCTTATGTTCACCACTCACACTCCTAAACACTACTGGGGAGAGGCTGTCCTAACTGCAGCTTATCTAATAAATAGGATGCCCTCCAAAATTCATCAGTTTAAAACTCCATACCAAATCCTATCTAATATACACCCTCACATCCCTCTTACCAATCTCCCACCAAAGGTCTTTGGTTGCAAAGCATTTGTTCACAACCATTCTCCACTTAGGTCAAAACTGGATCCCAAATCCTTACCTTGTGTGTTCATAGGGTATGGTGCCAACCAGAAAGGATATAAATGTTATTCTCCTACCACAAAAAAGGTCTACATCACAATGGATGTAACTTTTTTTGAAAATCAGCCTTTCTATGTCAAAACTGAATTTCAGGGGGAGAATCACAATGAAATCCAGTCTTTGAACCCTATTTCAGACACTATTCCAGACCTCCAAGAATCTGACTTTAACCACATTGAACCCATAATCCCAGACAAGCCTGAATCAATCCCTCTAGACAATACAGTCTCTCCATTAACCTCACCACTTCAGCCACCACCTTCATCCCCTCAAAACCTTACACTGAATCAAAATTCCACATTCTACAAAAATACCTACAAGAGGAAACCTAGAACCAAAGTTCCAGAAGATGAGCACATCACTCCAACTAGCACCACCCAATCATCTGACTCAAATCTAAATCCTGATGACAAAGAGGTTGAGGCTATAGAAGGAGATGAGGAGGAAGAGGACCTGCCTATTGCTATCAGAAAGGGAGTAAGGGAGTGTACCAAGCATCCTATCTATAATTTTCTTTGTTATAAGAAATTATCAGCAAACTATCAAACCTTTATTTCAAAGATTGATAGTATTCAGGTTCCTAGCAACATCAAGGAAGCCCTTGAACATCCAGGGTGGAGGAAGGCTGTCCATGATGAACTGGCAGCGTTGAAGAAGAATGGAACTTGGGTGCTTACAGATTTGCCAGCAGGGAAGAGGACTGTTGGCTGCAAGTGGGTATTTACAGTGAAATATCAGGCTGATGGCAAGATTGAGAGACTTAAGGCAAGACTGGTTGCTAAGGGGTTCACCCAAACTTATGGCATTGATTATTCAGAAACATTTGCACCAGTGGCAAAGTTGAACACCATTAGAGTATTGCTTTCACTCGCAGTGAACCTAGACTGGCCATTACATCAACTAGATGTTAAGAATGCTTTTCTTAATGGAGACCTAGAAGAGGAAGTATTCATGGATGTACCACCAGGGTTAGAAGACTTGGTGAAATCTGGCCAAGTTTGCAGACTGAAAAAGTCCTTGTATGGACTAAAGCAGTCTCCTAGAGCATGGTTTGATAGATTCACAAGATCAGTAATTAAACAAGGGTTCGTGCAATGTCAAGCAGACCATACATTATTTATAAAGAGGGCAGACTCTGGTAAAATAGCTATTCTTATAGTATATGTCGATGATATTATCATGACCGGGGACTTTAAAGCTGAATTGGACAGATTGAAGGCTCATCTAGCAAGAGAATTTGAAATCAAGGAGCTAGGCGAGTTGAAGTACTTCTTGGGAATGGAAGTGGCAAGATCTAAGAAGGGCATTTTCATTTCACAAAGGAAATATGTCCTAGACTTGCTAAGTGAAACTGGAATGCTTGGGTGCAAACCTCTAGACACTCCTATGGATATATCGAAGAAGTTAGGCAGTGAGATTGAAAGTCCACCAGTTGATAAGGGTAGATATCAAAGGCTGGTGGGAAAGCTAATCTATCTATCTCATACACGGCCAGACATTGCTTTCTCAGTAAGTGTGGTAAGTCAATTCATGAATGACCCAACTGAGGAACACTTAACTGCAGTCTACAGAATTCTGAAGTACCTGAAAATGACTCCTGGAAAAGGATTGTTGTTTCAGAAACAGGGGACTAGAAAGATTGAAGTATTTACTGATGCTGACTGGGCTGGTAGCCTCCTAGACAGAAGGTCAACTACTGGTTACTGTACTTATGTATGGGGTAACTTAGTCACCTGGAGGAGCAAAAAACAATCTGTAGTTTCTAGAAGTAGTGCAGAATCTGAGCTCAGGGCTTTAGCACAAGGAATTTGTGAAGGGTTATGGTTAAGAAGATTGATGAATGAGCTCAAACTTCCATTTGAAAGTTCCATCCAGATTTCATGTGATAATCAATCTGCTATCAGTATTGCTAAGAATCCTGTCCATCATGACAGGACCAAACACATTGAGATAGATAGAAGATTTTTGTCTGAGAAGATTGCAGCTAAGGATATCCAGCTAATCTATGTTCCAACCAGGCAACAAATAGCTGATATACTCACCAAGGCACTTCCCAGAATTCACTTTGAAGACTTATCTAGCAAGCTGTGCATGGATGATATCCATCACCCAGCTTGAGGGGGAGTGTAGATTATTGCAGAGATTATCCTAATTAATCACCCGATTGAGGAGTTATGGGAAGATATCCTGGAGATCTCAGAATCTCTAAATATCCCCATATATCTTTTCTTTATTAGAGAACCTTAATTAGAAGGATTCCTTGATTTCCTTCCTTATTTTACTTTCTTCTCTGGCTATATATTATGTAGTCTTCTCCTTGTATTACACAGAACAACAATAATAATATACATTCTACTTTTCACGAGTTCTTTCTACAGGATTCCTTATTAAGGATCTCTTTATTTAGTACTTCGTAAAATATTATAATTAGTTCTTCTCCTCATAAGAAAAGAATCAACTGTTGGCTGGGGCCAAAAGATGCATTCTTTGAAACTCTTTTATTACTTTGTTCTATTTAATAAGTTGACTTTATTTTCACGAGCCTCTTTACTCTATCAATTGGATTCCACATTTAGATTCATTATGGCTGTGTTTGCTACAATGGCGGATCTAACACCTGAGTTTTGGGTGTTTGAAATTATTTTACAATTAAAATTTTGAATAATAATACTTCCTCCGTTCTTAAATAAATGCAACGGTCAACATTTCACACTTGCCGAGACACAACTTTGACCATTAATATAAATGATTTTGTATTAGTAAAAAATTTTAAAAAATTAGATTATGAAAATTTACAATGAGATAAGTTTAACAATATTTTTTTCATAAAATAATATTATTACATTAATAAATAAAACGTAGTCAAAGTAGAACATGTGAATAGTGTAAAAGTCAAAGTGTTGCATTTATTTAAGAACGGAGGTAGTATTTTTTTTATCAAATAATACTACACAAATCTTTTCAACAACAAAATAGGTAATTGAAGCTAAAATCAAGAAAATCTGTATTAAGTAAAGTAAAATAATTTATTAAATCAACTCTAAACATGCATTTTTGCACTTCTACTTTAAAGTTTTGGGTATTCTCATGAACACCTTTAAACATATATAGGTCCTCCAGTCCTCCACTGATGTTAGCATTTCAAATTTGAATTATGTGTGTAGTTAGAAAGCTGGCTGAGGATTCTTGCAATTATGGGATTGAATGTGCTTGTAATGCTCCTCTTGCAATGGCCACTTCTAACTTTGGCGCCTCACATACTGTGATTCAAGACCAAAAGGAAACTTTACTTGGAATTCTTGGACAGCAGGTCTTTTATCTCCTCTTTGCAATGTTACTTCCAATTGCCACAATTAGCAACTAGCAGCATAAGGGTTTACTTTATACTTTCACAGGAGAAAAGAGCTTCATTCTTAAACATCAAACTCCTGAAATCTGAATTCCTTTCTTGCATTGTATTACACTGAATAATAATAACAATAATAATAGTAACAATAATAATAATAATAATAATCTACCAAATAGGTTTCAGAGCCAATTCGTGCATCAATAAGTGGTGCTCCTTTAGAAGATGCTCGTCATTTGATTCGCCGTTATGATAGGATGCGCCAGGAACTTGAATCCCAGGTAATATATGTTCTCAGCCAAAGAACCGTCTTTGTGAGGGATCATAAATTTAGATCCAGTTTGGTAATTCCTAAAATGGATGAAGTGGATACTGGATACATTTACTGAAGCTGTGATTCAATCTATTGAAATGCCCAAAAAATTAGATTATATATTTTTAAAATAAATCAATGAAATTATTTCTTAAAGTGAAGGTTAAAGGTCATTTTATTGACTTCTGTCATTTAGGAAAAAAGAAACTCATACAGTACCATTTTTCAATATTAGCTGATTTGGCCCAGTGAAATTAGTGTGTTTTTGGAGAAAGATGTGCTTATAAGCCGAATATGGGCATACCAAACGGGCTCTTAGTATGTATCTTTCTGATATGATACCCCCATTTTTCTCTCTCAGGCTGCTGAAGTAATAAGACGACAATCAAAGTTCAGAGATGCTTCTTCTGAGAGTTTAGGGAAGCTTAAGGATGCTGAAAGAAGGTTGAGTGAGCTTAAAACCTCCATGTTGATTCTTGGGAAGGAAGCAGCTAAGGCCATGCTTGCTGTAGAGGAGCAGCAGCAGCAGATAACTTACCATAAGCTACTCAAAATGGTATTTTTTGTTTGTTTTAGAAGTGTTAATGTGCAGTATGTGAAGCTTTTTGTGATTTCTTAATTCTTATTGATAGAGCATATATGAAAACAAGAAAAATCCTATATTTATAGGACATTAGTTCTAAGAGAAGAGGCATATGAGAAGTGTCTGTCCAAAAATTCTAGGTGACTTTTAGACACTGAACAAACTTAATCACTTATAAACTGAGCATAAACTAGTGATAATATTAATTACAAACTAAGTAGACACTTAAAGAATTAAGACTCATAATTACGAAGATAAAAAAAAAATATTTCCTAGAGTATTGATGTCTCTTTGGTATGGATCTGGATACATCAACACTCCCTCTCCCCAACGTAGATATCCTTCATGCTTGGCTTGATGATAAGACCCTGAAATCTAGAACCGTGAAGAGGCTTGGTAAACGTAGATATCCTTCTCTTTCGACGACGTGCCGGTTAATCTCTATATGGTTAGTACAATCATGCTGGATGGGGTTATGGGCTAGGTTTATTGTTAATTTGTTATCACACCCCAACTCCATTGGTCTTATCCATCTAATTCATAATCAAAGAGAATAATCGTGATATATAAAAGTTCACGCAGGTAATGGGAAAGTGCTTTTAGCTTAAATTCAACAAATGGTCGTGCCACAAAAACTAGTAGTTGATCGGCAGTAAACGAAGGGCCACCATAATCTGTGTTGAAATAGAGCATATAAACTAAGATATAATATTGGAGAGGAAATGATTTTCTGTATTTTGATTGAAGGGTTAAGGCTCTATATATATAGATTACAAAGATGGAATATTCCTATATAAGATTCTATGCACTAATAATACCTAGAGTATATTCCTAAAGCATATTCTTATAATTATTATAATATCTTTCACACTTCCTCTCAAGTTGGAGCATTGATATTTATCATGCCCAACTTGTTACATAAGTAATCAACTTGGATCCCATTTAAAGTTTTAGTCTTTTTGTATCTTCTCTCGAATAAAATGACAATCAACCTCAATAAAATACTGGATTGTTTGCTATGTGTGTAGCAGCTTGGTTATCGCACCGCAACTTAGCAGACATTGGTTTATCCAGATTATCTCACATGCCGAATGTGTCATAACACAATATTCTGATTCAACACTAGAACGAGAAACCACATTCTGCTTCTTACTTTTCCAGGAGACTAGGTTATCACCAACGAAGACGCAATAGCCATATGTAGATCTACTATCATCTTTAGATCCAGCCCAGTCAGCATCTGCAAAGCATTCTATTCTTGTGTGATCATGTTTTTGATAAACAATATACCTCATCCCGGAGTCCCCTTCAAGTAACTTAATACTCCCTCCGTCTTCGAAAAAAGTTCCCACTTTTCTTATTTGGATGTCCCTAATTTAAGTTTCCATTTCCTTAAATGGAAAGTTATCTACATCTAAACAGTGCAAAACAGTGTCAAACAGTGCCAAACAGTGTCGAAACAGTGTCAAAACAGTAAATTTTACCCCTGATAAGTTTACTTACATAAAAGTGTGTGAAAGTCAAATGAGGAACTTCTTTCGGGGGACGGAGGGAGTATATGTTCTACAACATTCCAATGATCAACCGTCGGAGATGACATATATTGACTCACTATACTCACTGAGTACACAATATCTGGACGAGTAACTGCAAGATAATTAAGCTTTTCAACCAATCTTCTATGTCTTTTCAGATCTTCGAATGACATGCCTTCTTGAGTGAGTTACACATTGGGAATCATGGGAGTATTGCTCGATTTTGCCCCTATTTTCCATGTTTCAGCTAGCAAGTCAAGTACATATATACGTTGAGATAGAAAATTGTCTTTCTTACTCCGTGTTACCTCAATCCCCAAGAAGTATTTTAGTGAGCCAAGATCTTTTGTTTGAAATTGACTGTGAAGAAAATTCTTAAGGGCCAAAATACTTGCATTATCACTCGTAATCACAATATCATCGACATACACCACCAACAATGTGATACCTACTTTCGTTCGTCTGTAAAAGACAAAATGATCTTATTGACCTTTTATCATTTCAATCGTTCAAATGATTGATTGAATTTTCCAAACCATGCACGGAGGCTTTGTTTCAGACCATAAAGAGACTCACGAAGTTGACAAACTTTCCCATATGCCCTCGAGCAACAAATCCCGGAGGTTGCTCGATATAAACTTCATCTTGAAGGTCACCATGCAAGAATGCATTTTAATGTCTAGTTGATGCAAGTGCCAACCATGAGTTGCGGCAAGTGAAGTAAGTAACCTGATAGATGTTAATTTAGCAATAGGAGAAAAAGTGTCAGAATAATCAACACCATAGGTTTGAGCATAACCCTTCGCAACTAATCAAGCTTTCAACTCAGCAACAGATCCGTCTGAGTTAACCTTAACATCAACGACCCACTTACATTCAATAGACTTCTTCCCTATAGGCAAGTCTACCAAATCCCAAGTACCATTAAGATCCAAATCATTCATTTCCTGTACCATGGCATGGCTCCATGTAGGATAAGACAAGCTTCTTCAACAAATTTGGGAACAGAAACAGAATCAATGGAAGTAATAAAAGAACACGAGGTAGGGGATAACTGATTATATGACACAAATGAAAAAAATAGGATGAGTACAAGACCGTGTACCTTTACGTAGTGCCATCGGGAGGTCAAGATCTGATGTAGAGACAAGATCTAAAGATGCAGGTACTGCTTCAGGACATGAGGTCGAGGTCGGACCAGTATCAGGATATGTAATCACGGGTGTCACAGGTGGAGGGTGATCTGGTGCTTTGTGTCGACGCGTGTATACCAAGTGTATCGGAGGCTTAGGGTCAGGAACAGTAACTTGTGGAATAATTGTAGAAGATGTGGACTCAAAGTATAGTCATCGTGTAAATGAGTCTATCATCATTATTCTCATGAATACCTGCCTTACATGATGAAAAGGGTTTATTTTCATGAAATTATGCATCAATAGAAACAAGATACCGACCTGTACTTGGACAAAAACATCTATACCCCTTTTGAACTCAAGAATAACCTAAGAAAATACATTTTAATGAATTGGGATCTAGCTTTGTAAGATGAAGATTAACATCTCTAACAAAATAAGTGCAACCAAATATTTTAGGTGGGATAGAGAAAAGCTCTTTATTTGGAAATAGACAGTGATAAGGAGCTTTACCATTCAAAACAGAAGACAACATTTGATTTATCAAAAAACATGCGGTAGACACGACATCAACACAAAACTGTTTAGGAACATTCATTGGGAATAGAAGAGCCCTTGCAGTTTCTAACAGATGTCAGTTCTTTCATTCTCAACTCCATTTTGAGGAGGTGTGTGAACGCATGAAGTTTGATGGATAACACCATGCTGAGTTTGAGTCAACGTTGAAGCATAAATGACTGAAATGTAGCAAATAGATATTCTTGGGCGTTGTCCTCTCTTAACACCCAAACATGAATGTTAAACCAAGTTTTAATCATAGATACAGAAATCACTGAGATACCCGCGTTTCGCGTTCCGGATCGCGCGTACCGGATCGCGGTACATTTGCGTGCCGGTCGCTTCTGGGTCGCGACTTCGGTACGGAAGTTTCAGGTCGCAGTTCGCTGGTCTCTCCGCCGCAGGTCACTGACGCTGGTCTTTCCGCCGCAGGTCGCTGACGCTGGTCTCTCCGCCGCAGGTCCTTTCTTCGCCGTTTGTACTGTCGCTCGTTTTATGGTATTTTAGATCTGGACTCTGTTCTTTTACTCTGCGGCCCTCTCACTCTTTCTTTTGGCAAACCGTTCTTTTTTCCTTTTTTTTTGTTTTTTCCATCCTTTTTGAACTATGCAGTATTTTGTGTGTGTGATGATTTTTGAACTACGCACTATATGCTCTTTTAACAACTGATTTTTTTATTACTTTATTAATATCGAATACTTATATTAAATAAAAATTTAAGTTTATCAGATTTAGTTTATTCAGTTTATGAATTGGGAACAATTGGAATTTGGAATGTTACATTAATTGTTCAATAGTCCATATTATTAATATTATATTTCTACTTTTAAATTCAATATGTTTAGCGGTACACCGTAACGTAATCAATGGTACAACGTACCGCGTACCGAAATAGCGTACCGAAGAAGCCTACCCCCTCGCGTACCGGATACACTGGATTTAGCGAACCCCGTTCCCGATCCTCGTTCCCGTACCGAAACGTTCCACGAACTATGTGACTATGGTTTTAATTTGAGTGAATTCCCTAAATAGGACTAAAAAGTGGAAAAATTGCACAAATAGGACTACATTTTTTAAATTCCCTTAATAGGACTTTTTATGTGTGTTTGGACAAATATACCCTTGTAACTTGTGAAATGTTTTAATTAATAATAAAATCATAAAAAAATTAATAAAAATCGAAAAAAATACTAAAAATCGTAAAAAAAATAATAGAAAATTAATAAAAATATTTTTTTTAAAAAAATAAAAAATATTTTTTAAAAAAAAATAAAAAATAAATTAAAAAAATCATAAAATTAAAAAAAACACATTACCACCCCTGCCACCCCCAACACCACTATCTCCCATCACCGGACAAAAATATGCCAACATTTTAAATAATGCCATAATGATGGCATAATCAATGAAAATGTTGGCATATTGAAGAGTAATTATGCCATCTTTTTGGCATTTTCAGAAAAATATGGCATTTTTTTACCAAAAGTGGAAGAAATTTCACCAATCGGAGGTGGTGGTGCTGGGAGGCGGTGAGAAAGGTATCCATAATTTTTTTCATTTTTTATGGATTTTTACTATTTTTTATTATTTTTTTAAAAAAATTAAAAAAATAAAAAATTAAATTTTTTATTTTATAAATGTTTTATAATTTTTTTTTTTAATTTTTTTACGTTTTTTAAATATTTTTTTACGTTTTTTGTGATTTTATTATGAATTAAAGCATTTCATTATGAATTAATACTCTTAGGGGTATTTAGGGTAGAAAATCAATCTTTAGTCCTATTTAGGGAATTTTAAAAATAGTAATCCTATTTGTGCTTTTTAGGAACTTTTTAGTCCTATTTAGGACAATTTCCGTTCTAATTTCAGTACATAAGGAAGAAAAATGAGTGAACAACTTAGATCAACGTTTCATGAAATACAACCATGTCATACGAGAATAGTCATCAACAAATGTAATGAAATATTTTAAACCAGCTTTAGACACAACCGGGCAAGCACCCCAAACATCAGAATGAACAAGGTCAGATGGAGCATTTGTTCGTATATTAACTCGAGGGCTTAATCTAGTACGATGGTGTTTCGCAAATTGACATGACTCACATAGTAAAGATGACATCTTATTGAATTGAGGTTTATTTGCTTCATTAATGGGAGAGATGGATGTCCTAATCAGTAATGAGCCTCTAACAAATTCTCAACCCCAAGACAAGAGATACCTTTTGTGATTGATGTATCCAAAATATAAATACCAGCTGACTCATGTCCTTTACCAATGGTCTGCTTCGTTAACAGATCCTAAAACACATACTCCCTCCGTCCCAAAAAGGTTTGCCAAATTTCCTTTTTTGGATGTCCCAAAAAGATTTGCCATTTCTATTTAAAGTAAAGAATATGTGGCTAAAGTTAATTCTCTCTCCTCTTCACAAATTTCAACCACACAGTTTTTACTTTATTAATCCACGTGAAAGTCAAAGTTGGCAAACCTTTTCGGGACGGAGGGAGTAATAATTAAGAGTACGTGTAATTTTACTGATGGAAAGTAGATTAAATACAAAATTAGGAAGACTCAAAACAGGCGATAGTGGTAATGTAGAAGTTGAGACAACAGTACCGGATCCAAGAACGGGTGATGTAGATCCGTCAGCTAAAGTGACACTTGAAGTAGGTAAATATGAATGAAATGATGAGAATAAACTAGGATTACCGGTCATATGATCTGTGACACCCGAGTCAACGACCCATTTCGAGGAGGATGAAACAAGTCTATGTGTTTGAAATACCTGAATTAGCGACTACCGAGATAGGGACATAAGGAATGCTTTAGAGATTCTTGGTAGCAAATAAATTTGGCATGTGCGTATGAAGAAATAACAATTGACCCATCAGATGATTTTCTTGAGCAAACCGATTTCCTTGATTTTTGAGCAGCAATTTTCTACATTCTTTGAGCAAGTGCCTGGGCTTCTTGCAGTTTACTCCTATGTCAAATTGAGCCGTACAAACAAATGCAACTTTGACCATTAATATATATATATATATATATATATATATATATATATATATATATTAGTTAAAAAATTAAAAAAAAATAGATTTTGAAAATTTACAATGAGACAAATTTAACAATATTTTTTTCATAAAAAAATATTAATACATTAATAAAGGGAAAATCGCACTTTTAGTTCCTGAAATAGTCGCCAAAATGAAATGTTAGACCCATATTTTTGAGATTGTAAATGTCACCCCTCAATTGTCCAAATTTTTGTCAATGTGGTCCTTTAAGTGGTGAAATGTACTCTCGTCCACATTGTATACTTCATCCCTCAAAGGACCACATTTACAACATTTTGAACAATTGAGGGACGACATGTACCAACTTGGGAACACAGGTCTGACATTTCAATTTCGTGACTATTTCAGGGACTAAAAGTGCGATTTTCCCCATTAATAAATAAAACGTAGTTAAAGTACAACATGTGAATAGCGTAAAATTTAACATGCTGCATTTATTTAAGAATGGAGGTAGTGTGTGTGTGTGTGTGTATATATATATATATAGAATAGAATAGAGATCAAATACAAACCATGCTTAATTTACAAAGTACAAACTTATCTTGGCCATCTGATGAGTTGATCTAAAGGATATAAAGGCAAGGTGACATTTTTGTAATGAAACCTAACTTTTCTAGGGTGCAACTCGTTGAACGTTAATGTGCAACTGTTATTTTATGAGTATATAATATGCAACACTTTGAACCTCAATATGCAATGCAAATAACATCAAGGTGCATCATACAAACATTTGCACAATAAGCACACTTTGTACTTGATCTTTCCCCTATATATATAATATATATATATATATATATTCTTTTTCTAATAGCAATAAAGTTCAAAATTGAAATATTTGTGATATTTGGAATTGCTTGGCAATTCCAAGCGTCCTCCCGTGCGTAGATCCTGTAGGAAACAACAAGGGAAGAAAATAGCTGCACAATAAAGAGCAACAGTGAGCCCTTGTAAACAGAAACTAGCTTCCTAGCCATGTTTGGTACATCTAGGGTGTTTTTCTGATTTGATTGATCAGAAAAAACAACTGTGCCATGACCTGTAACCTGACCTGCAACCCGTGTAGCTGTGCCATCAACAGTAGTAACGTGTGGATGCGAAATCAAAAGTTACGTGTTTGGTAAAAAAGTTGGTTGTTAAGGCCGATAAGCCGAAAAATAGGTCCACCAAGCGTGCTCTAAATAACATAAAAACTATTTCCTGGATTAATGATGTCCCTTCAGTACAGATCTGGATACATCAACAGTGTGTTAAACAATTTAATGTAGGGATTTGAACTAAGCAAAAAATTTGTAGTGTAGCATCTGACATCTCTAGTGTGTCCAACTGAAATGGTAATTTGGTAGTAGTTAACAACTAATTATTGTTTTGTAAATGTAATTTGGTTACTAAATTAGCAAGGTAGCAACCTGTTCATTAGTGTACTCTATCCCGTATTTTTTCATTATGAATTTAATTGGTTTTTAATAATACTAAGAAAATGTGCCATTTTGGAAAAATTCACATGAATAATGCTAACTATTAGCGGTATTCCATTATTAATCCCACAGGTAATTCTAATATAATCTAATTTATTAGGGTCATCTTCTTCCAACAGTCCGATGACCTGCTTAAACCAATTCAACAGGTCACTTGACACGTGGTATGTTTTAATTGGTCTATTTTTTATTCTTCCTTTTTTTGGTTTTTCCTTATTACTAGTATTTCGACTATTTCTTATTTCTTTTACTTTTCAGTTTGATTTCTTTTCTCCTGCTCTGGTCCGTCCATCTTAGCTTCTCCCCGGGTGTTAGCTGGCCCTATTCCCTTTTCACCTTTACTTTTTCCTTTTCTGTTATTTTTTCCATGGCTGCTCCAGTCTCCTTCAATGACATTTCTTACAATCTTACTGGTGGGTTATAACTTCGGACCGAGGAAGGGAAGGAAGTGAAATCGACATCTTTTTCTTTTGAATTGAGAGGATAAAACAGTTGGGCGAGACTCATAAATGATAGGTGGACCGTGGACGGGAGATAACCGGAGAAGGGGAGTTAGCCGGAGTTCTTCTCACACATAGCCAAGAAGAAAAGAGCTAGATACATCAGCCATGGATGATAGAAGGGAGATAGCTTAAGTTTTCACCATCGCTAGCTTTGTTACTGACTTGCTGTCACAAGGTTTTGGTCAAGCCACCGGCCATTGGAGATTTCAAGTTGAGTGAAGAGAAAAACGAAGAGAGCGTAAGACTTTTATTCGAATCAAATAAAGAGCGGGTGACAATAGGTTTTGGTCAAGCCACCGCCTGTGCCATCTCCTTCTCTGTTCGTCGTCGACGTAGACCAAAGAAGCGGATGGACTATCTGTTCTTTATTTTCAGCCATCCACATATTACTTATTTTTTCTTTTTGCCTTTTTTTAAGTTTTATACCGGTTCAATAGGTTTCAGGTAGCATGGGATCAATCTGAGAAGGTCACACGTGAACTTGGGATTATTTTAGAATTACAAATAGATGGGATTAATAATGGAATAACGCTAATAGTTGGGATTATTTATGTGAATTTTTCCTGCCATTTTTTAGCAAGACACTCTCCGTTGTCAACTCAGTGTGCGACAGCAAGTAATTCTTCACAAATAATTGTCCATTTATGAAACCAACAAAGTAAAACATAGTAAACTTACTGGTTGCTCTCCCATTTTGGTTTCACTTTTTCCTATTACTTTTGATGCCAAGAAGCCATTAGAGGTCTGTTTATCAATTTATGACAAAATTATTTGCATCTTATTGTGTCATTATTGTATGTATCTTATTGTAGTTTCAGCTGGCAGGTGGATGCTGAAAGATCATATCATCGAAGTGTTGTTTCTTTATTGGAGAAGCTACATTTAGAAGTATGCATACATTAATTTGCCCCAATACTTGCTTGCAAATATACCCTTCGGATCTCTTTTAGTCTCGTACTAAATGAAACTTTTATATTGCTGGAGTTAGATGATTACAGACGAAGAAGAACTAAATGAGTCTCTGCAACAAGACTCATCAACTGCACAAACAGAGACAGCTTCAAAGAGATCTACTGCCCATCCACAATTTGTAAAGGTCTTACACTCATTTGATGCTGAAGCAGACGGCGAGCTAAGTCTTGAAGTTGATGATTATGTTGTAGTCCGTCAGGTATGTGGTACTGCTAACTATGTACACATTAATTAATTAATTAATTAATTAATTAATTAATTAATTAATTAATTAATTAATTATAGTAAATAAAATTATATTCCTTTGGGATTTAGACTCTTTCTAAGTTATTAGTAATTTGCTAATTCAACAGTACTTATATCAGTGATAATTGAAATGGAGACTAACTTGGGTAATCTGGAGCCCAATTCGGTCCGGTAGGCAATCAACCCATTAATATGTCGAAACCCGCATCTACCCGCATGACCCGCCGGAACCGGACCGGCTGAAACTCAGAAATTGGGTAAAACCCGGAATTCTGTGCAAAATTAGTCGTGAAGGGGAATCGAATCCTGCTCAACGACTTGAGTATACGGCCACCAAACCATCTAGCTGCACTGGGAAGTTGTTACACCAGGCTCTTTAACTCTATTTATTACGGAGTATATAGATTGTGTTTAATCAATGCATTACAAATTTACAACCTCTACGGTTCTATTACTTGGTATATAATCAATAATCATAATAATAAAAATATAACATCACTAATAAACACTACTTACTATTATAATAACTGAAAGCATTTATATTCATTGTTAAAACTTGTACATTGTAAATAATAATTTAATTTGTATGTTGACCAGGTTTTCCGGCATTGACCGGGTTGACCCTCCAGGTCTGGGTTGACCCGTGACTCAGTCATTCGGCCGGGTCGCTCTCCGGTCCGGTTTTTACAACATAGGATACGGATTGAAAATTATTGCTAGATTTCAAAGTTTGTGACATCTCGGCTCCTCTTAGAATGGTTCCTTGATGCCATTTTTTGGTTTTATTCTAAATAAAAGTTACATGAAAAATGTTCTGTTACAAACCAAAAAAGATGAGACGTACACTAATCATGTTAGTTTTAAACACGTCTTACAGTGAATCTCAAAAAACAATCATGGTTTCTCGAGCGGGACCTTGAAAGATATTATTCCAGTTTTTTAACTACAGTTGAATTTTTGGTAATTATTAACAAAAGTTGACAGTTTGTATTAATCATTGACAGTTTAATCATCATTTTAATTATTGGTAATGACTGGCAATAATATTATTCATGTTAGCGCTTTTAGGGTATTGGAAATTTGGAATTAATCACGGCACAACGTGGATTGGGTTCTGTGTGTTTTTATTACCGCATTGCTGTTCATATATGTGACAAATTGTTTCATGTTATTATCTTTGAAATGATTTTTTGGTTTTCTATTTGGTAACTAATGATTATAGGTAGCTCCTAACGGATGGTCGGAAGGAGAATGCAATGGCAAAGGTGGATGGTTTCCCTCAGCTTATGTCCAAAAGATAACACCTCGTGGCCTCACATCAGCAGCCAAAGATGATTCTTTTCTTCCAAATAACTAAAATACTAAATAAATACGGATTATTTTAAATGTATGTATTCTTTTGTGTAAAATTTTCAATCGGGGCGTGACTCACATGATAAGAAGATTGAAGAAAGTGCCACAAAGGAGAGGTTCCAGTTTGAACTCCAAGTAATGACTTCAGACGAAACCTTACACTTTTTCCATCAGAGTGATCAAAATTCAAGTTACATCCTTCTAGATAATTGTCCGGTTGATTTCCGGAGGCTCTCAGGGATGGAATGGCATGGCATTCTTTTGTGTAAAATTCTCAATTGTACAGTGCAGTCTGCAAACACCTCAGAACGTTATCATAATTTTCTTGTCTATGTAGTATAGTTATAATGGAAGTGTAATTTGGTTTAAGTTCTTAATTGAAAAATAAAAGGAAAATTGTCAATTGAAAGTTTTTTTTTGGGAAAATAAGCCCTTGTATTCTTACAACACCTAATTGAGAGTTGAGACCGCCAACTTGAGGAGAACACTCAATAAACCGTTATACGCGGTCGTCGTCTCCCGGGTAGCTCGTTGCTCGCTGACTAGGATGCCTATGTGGAGGTCGTTACCTGTCTATTAATGTTGGTTTTCCTTGTTCAATTACATGCACACATGACAATCCATGTGGCGGCTCGCTGCCCGCATGACAATTTTTCCTTGGTAACAACTTCAGTACCTATTTAAAAAATGGGGTACTGTCTCTCTGTGCTTTAATACAGGGGTAAGACTGTGTACATCTGACCCCTCTTACCCCACTGTAGGTGGGAGCCTTTGCGGCAATGGGGTAATTGAAAATGATGAATGACTATACTTACAATTCATGTGATTGGTCTAAATCATTATATCTTTAATTTAGATTTGAATAATTCAACTGCAACATTCTAATTAATCCATGTGGACAAAGGTATGGTACCTTAAGGGTATCATAGAACCTATCTTTTTCCTTATTCCTCCCTCCCTCCTCTCTATCTACCTATTCTTCATTAAATTCGCGGTCTTGTAAAAATAAATTTCCAAACAAGTTAAATATGTTCAGCGCAATTGACATTCTTTGTTTGAGTATGCTTAACTAGACCAACAAATAAAATTTAAATTACAGTTAGATTTGATGAATTTTAAATAGTGGTATCTTACTAAAAGTAAAATCAATTGCATTGGTGAAAGTGGTCTTTTTCCAGACCTGATTTAATAATTACGTATGAACTTTTTGCAAGGAAAAAGAATCAACAGTGGCAAATAGATCGGTAGTAGCAGGTACCATACAACTATTACATTAAAGAAATGTGAAATTGAATAATTCCTATTGGGGGTGATTCCTATTGGTCTTTTTACAATAGTAATCCCTATTGAGAGTCTTCATAAAAATAATACATACTAGCAATAGTGTACACAAGAATAAATTAGAGTAAATTCACACTAATGCACATTTAATACTCTCAATCCATATCTCCACTTTCCCATTATCACTCTTCGTCTCGGTTAACACTTTTATGTCCCAACCTAGAGAGAAGCACATATGGCGGAAATGGTGTTGAGATTAAACATGTTTTAGTTTGAATTGACCCCGAGAAAAAGAGTTGAGAAGAGAAAAGTGAGAGTAAGAGTCGAGACTCAAGAGTATTAAACAGACATTAATTTGAATTCACCCTAATTTATTGTTATGGACACCATCGCTAGTTCAGATTATTTTTATAGATGGAGATTATTATTGTAGAATCCCTGAAAGTATGGATTAATATGAATTTCACTTCCACACATCCAAACACACCGATTTAAAGATTTCTTCTACTTAGTTGGCATGCAAGCTGATCAAGAGCTACCATTGCATGAGATGATGGGCCTAGGGAGCCTTCATACCTGTGAATACATACATACAACTTGGTCATGGCCCATGGGCCTCTATGCAAATAAAAAAGAAATTTGGTAGATACCAAATAAATATATCAAACACAGGGTCGCTTCCTCGCTTGGAAGTCATAAAATGCTAGTAAAACAAAAGGATGAAACAAAATGTGAGTGAAAATGAAAAAATAAATAAAGATATTAAAACACTGTTTCATTTTGAATGAAAGATTTTTACTCGTTTAAATCAAATTGATTTGGCTTTGTATTGTTCAAATTAAAACCAAACATGAAAAAGAAACATTTTCCATAGCTACTTTTTATCTTCCCAACCATTTCACAAGTTCCAAAGTTAACCTTACAGTCCAATCAAGAGGAATGCTGCAGTTTGCATGACAATCACACCTTCACCAGCATGTTTAGAAGTGTTCATGCATCTTGCACAAAACCAGGTCTCGTGAATCGATGTGACAAGATCTGTTAAAAATATAATTTTCATCAACTAGACTATACACGTTTAATAGCTTCAAGAAATTTGGCAATTCAATTCTCCCTACTGATTCCTAATGAGTTTAATGGAGCAACAATATCCCGCTTGTAGCATGCACATGTTTTTATACATAAGTCGCGTGATAGTTCCAAGTCCTAAAAGAGTATAGGCAGACTCCTTCCAGCCCCAGTACACCCAGATGTATCGTGTGCATGGTATTAGATCCGCTCAACATCCATATGCTTCAAACGGCCATTCATTTGAGGAAAATGAGCATTATGTGTGTGTGGGTGTATTAAAATATGCATTAGTTAGAATGAAGAGTATGAAGAAATGAGCATTCTTTAGGTGTAAAAAGATCAATTACCAAAAAAATGCAAAAAAACCCAGATGTAAAATTACATGCGGAAGTACCATGTAATTTGCCCCTTAGTGTAGGATGTTTGTTGATTCAGTTTGGTCGGTTCAATTTTGAATTGCGAAATTGAAAATCAGTTCAGTGCAAATCAGTTTTTGTTTGTGGTTTTTTGTTCAGGCCTTGAGGTGATTTAAAAGGATGAAAATCATCATCATGATTTGGTAAAGGTTATTTTCTGAATTGGCTAAATTTTCCGCAAGATAAATCATTTGGCAAAATCAGTTTTAGGAAAATAAGCAAGTCAAAGGCTACTTAAAGCCCGTTTGGTGATAATTATTTGGCTGAATGTGCTGAATTTAATGAAATGAGAAGCAATTTGTCAAATCCATTTCAGCAAAAAAAAAGTAAATCTAAAACTACTTGTTCTGTTTACTCTAATTATTCTGATGACCAAATTTGGCTACCAACCAGGCTCTATGTGTGCTTATTTTGGCTAGCAAGTAGAATAAGTTGGATGAGATACACCAAATGTGGTTTAAAAATGAGTAGATAAAAAAAAAAGATATGCAGCTGTAGTTGCCGAATGCTCAAATACCAGCGTATCTAAAACTCCAATAAGTTAAGAGTCTTAAAAAATTGAATAGGGTTTAGAAAAGCATTTGGACAGGGGGGACAAAAAGTGAGGAGACACGAATGATAATAAAAGGATAATGTGAACAATAGAGCTCACATTGGTTCTGCCTGAGATAGAAACTCTCAGTCTGTAGCTTATTGCTCTTAACAAAGTTAAGAATCTGGCCCAATTCTGTTCGATCTGCTTTTATCCCCTCTTGAGCTACACTGAAAGAAACAAGGAATCCTTTGTTTCAAATCGCCACATCTAATGTTCATGCTAACTTTCGAACATACATCTTCTATTGAAAGAGCTCAAATGCTAAAATGGTACATCACAACTACTGATAGAAGAAAACGTGTCAGGATTAACAGCAATGGAAACGCAGGCACACACATGGCAAATTCCACCCAAAATTACTAAAGCAATTTGCACTTACATAGTCGATAGAAGGCGGGACGGTCCGTTTGGATCGTAGTTTAAAAGCAAAGCAGCCTTCAAATGTTGATCTTAAAGTCACATTATCCACAGTGTCAGTAATCATGCAGAGTATGGATTTGTAGAAATGCACGCATTAAGAATTAGGGACGCATCACCTGAACAACCAAAGTGGTTAGATGCCCACTTATCCCAGATTTTATGCACAGCAGCCCAATCCATGTCCCTATGCAAATGAACCCCACTTAGCGTAGAATTAGAAAGACGATGATAGAGGAGTTTATCCCGCCCCAGATATGGATCAAACCTGTAGAGGCGGTGGTGTTAGTTGGTTCGGTTTGATTTTGGTTGTTTTAGTCGGACGGTTTTGATTGATTTCCTGTTTTTTTGTTCATCCCTAAATAATACGGAGTACTTCCTAGGTAATTAATACACAAATAGTACCCCCGTCCCTTTTAAAAGCACAAAGTTCATGGTACAATAAAAATAAATAAAGATGATACAGCTACATGAGATGATGAAGAGTATAAAACTTATTGATTTCATGTCCCATTAGATTCAAGAAATAATGATAACAACTATACATATGATTTGTAATCCGACAAATATAGGACTTAATTTGAAATAGGACAAAAAAGTGGGCGATTAAACCTGAAATATCCCTACACTTTTCTTCTGTTACATATTTGATTCGCACAATCGCAAATCAGTTCCTATTCTTTATCTCCATCAACACTCCTGACCGACCAACTAGGAGCATTGTCGCATTCGCCGATGCCTTGCTACTACGCACCAGTATATGTTGCGCAACCGTCGCCGCACTGCAGTGAGTTCCTTTGCGACTATGGTCACGAGTTTTTTGGATTCAGCGATGATGAGTTTTGTCACAGATCTGATATCTAGATGTGGACATTCGACGAAATCCAACGATCTATATGTTTTTTATTTTTATTTTTGTAGGGGTTCGAGCGGGCGACAAGGGTATGGGCTAATTGGGCACATGGAAGTGAAGGGGTTGTGGTTGGGGAATGACAGTTGACGGTGGCGATGATCAAAATGTCTTTGAAAGTTGTTGAGGCATTAGCAACAGGGAGGGGCAAGAGGTTTGGGGTAAGTGCGACAGAGGGTGGCATGGGGGATGGGGAGCTGGAGAGGGGGTTGGGGAGATGGAGAGGGGGATGTGGAGGCTGACCGCCTTAGAGGGGTGGCTGCGGGTCACCGGTAGTGATGGTCGGCAGTAGCGGTGGTGTTGTTGCTATTGGTGGTGGTGGTGGTAGTGATGCTCACTATCGGATCGGGTAACTAGTTGGGGTCGAGTAACTGTAAATGTAATTGGTCAGTCAGGCAACTGTAATTGGTCAGATATGGTAACTGTAACTTTTCGGGTAACTGTAACTGGTCGGGTAACTGTAACTTTTCGGGTAATTGTAACCGGTCGCGTAACTATAACAGTAATTATCGAGTCAAGTAACTGTAAATCGTAACCGGATAACTGTACATGAGGGGTATAAAAAGTCAAACATCTCGTTATTAGTCCTTTCTAGCATCTTTGGAAGGGGGAATGGCTAGGAGGATTGATACGTAGAACTACTATTTAGTTTGTTGTGCTAGCGGAAGGTCTGTTTTTTGGAAAATACTAAAAGAGGACCTATATTTGTCCAAATCGTTTTAATTAGTAATATTATGACCTAACCCTTGGATTTA